ATGATAGTTTTTGTCATTTTATTTAAGATGTGCTAGACTTTGTTAAGTTACTTACCAAATAGATTGATACTTTAGAAGCCTGTTTTAAAACATTTTTATGTCAGATATAGGGTTGCCTTTATGCATAGTTTAGCCCCACTGCTTATATGTGCTCTAACTGTTTTCTCCACCAAAGGCTGAGTATTCAACAAGAACTCTCACTGGCTATTGTGAATCTGAAAAATTTCCCAGACATCTTGTAAGCTTCAGATTTTAGTTCTCTGGTCATTCCATTTCTAGCCTTGTGTAGTTGCACCCCCTGATTTTGCGGCTTAGATTTAACAAGAGACTCAAGGGAGCCCTATGGAGATTTATGGATCTCTTTCTCTATTAAACACCCTGAAAATACTGGGTACCTCAGCCTCCAAGAATTCTTCAGTTTGTCCCTGAATTCTGTAAGACTACTGTGCTCTGCTTGGTACCCCTCTTCTTGTAACACAGCTTGTTAGATGCCTATAGTCAAAAGACCAGGAGAGAAAACATTGCTTGACCTTTTGACCTTTTAATTTACTAACCTTATATTAGTGACTGAATTGATTATTTCACCAACTTACTTGACTGTATTAAGACAGGTGGTATTTGTTTACCAGCTCTTGGATTTTCCTTTTTCCATGTATTAAAATTTCTATATACGGCATAGGGAATATAGTCAATAATATTTTAATAACTTTGTATGGTGAAAGATGATTACTAGACTTATTGTGGTGATCAATTCATAACCCTATAATTGTAGAGCCACTGGGGCTTAGATACCAATGTATGAATACTTTATTTGTGTTTCTCTTGATTTATTGTTTTATCCTGTAATTCTTTCTCTAACAAATAATTTTGAGAGGTAGAGGATGCCATTTGAGCCCCCCCTTTTTTTTTTGCCATGATTTCCACGATTAAGAGTAAAATTTAGTGTTGCTGTATTTAATTGGGAGTGGGGATCTTTCCATCGTTTAAAAGGGCGTGGAAAATATACTTTGTTTCAGCTGTTAATTTTTTTGGCTGTGCTGGAACTGTAAGCTCTGTTTCTTGCACAGCAGGTTTGGTTTCTGTGCATATTTTTAGTCTGTTTGAGATGCAAACGAAAAAAATCTATTGTTCACAGTTACCCATCTATGTGCCATTATGATGCTCAGAATTTCTTTGTGTAGATCCAAGTTTCCTTGCAGGGATCAAAATTCTGCTCTGCCTGTCGTATGGTATCCTAACACTGTTTATTTGAATATATTGTATATAGTAGGAGAGTAAATCCAGTCCCAATTACTCCATAAAGGCTAGGAGTGTAAATAATCACACTCTTTATTAAAAAGTAGATATCAGTATAAAATACATAATTTGGGTTTTTTACACGCTTAAGTCATTAATAATCAAAAGATATTTCAGACATAAATGGAAAATTGTGATAAATACAATACTGAGTACTATACTTATTCTAATTAATTTTCATAAGCACTGATGTTACTATTAGATAATGACTTCTAAGCTGTATTATCACTAGAAGACAAAAAAGGCAAAAGATAAATTCAGGATTAATTATCTCTTCTTCTTAAGCTTTAAATAAGGAAAAAAACGTCCTCACAATGTTATTTCCTTTTTTCTTTTTTTAGCAGAATTACTTTATAAAGTCCTAGCTAAGTCTTAGGTATCATCATTTCTAGCCACACTGACAAGAGTATTGAAATATTAAATAGACTTGTAGCACTTAAAAACAGCTATATGATTTGTAATAATTTTGTGATTTTTATTTTTCTTCATCTTCTGGACTACACTGGTCATTCAGTGCAGTTCCTAAAATCACCATACAAATTTAGTTTATAATAGCTTGAACAATTTAAATCAATTCTCAAAATTAATCAGTTTAAAATTTTGACCTTTTCATTTACTAACCTTATATTAGTGACTGAATTGATTATTTCACCAACTTACTTGACTATATTAAGACAGGTGGTATTTGTTTACCAGCTCCTGGATTTTCCTTTTTCCATGTATTAAAATTTCTATATATGGCATAGGGAATATAGTCAATAATATTTTAATAACTTTGTATGGTGAAAGATGATTACTAGACTTATTGTGGTGATCAATTCATAATGTAGATAAATGTCAAATCACTATGTTGTATACCTGAAACAAATATAATATTGTATGTTGACTATACTTTAATAAAAAAATTCTATAAATCTTATTTGGGTAAATGGATGTATGAAGATCTCAGAACTCTTAGATACTTATTGGCAGAACTTAGGTCCGTAAAGAAAGCAATTACAGAGGATTTTCTTCTGATTAGCTGGTAAGTTTAATAAAAATTATTTTGAGATTACCTATACATTCATATTCACTGTATCCTACATAAGCCAGCAGGTGGCAAACTTGAGATTTTTTATACTATTGCTCCTATTGAGGAAGTACAAGTATTGAACCATATATCTGTCAATGGATATCATGAATAGCTTTTTTATTGTACTATAACATAAGAAAAATTAAACCCTCTAATTGTAGAGCCACTGGTGTTTAGATACCAATGTATCAATACTTTATTTGTGTTTCTCTTGATTTATTGTTTTATCCTCTAACAAATAATTTTGAGAGGTAGAGGATGCCAATTGAGCCCCCCCTTTTTTTTTGCCATGATTTCCACGATTAAGAGTGAAATTTAGTGTTGCTGTATTTAATTGGGAGTGGGGATCTTTCCATCATTTAAAAGGGCATGGAAAATATACTTTTTCTCCCAGAACAAGTATTGTAAGATATTTTTGAAAGTCCTAACAACATTGATCTTCATGTTGTTAAATACAAACAGTAACTTGTTCATGGTAATGATTGTTTTTATTTTATTCCTATAAATATTTCTGTTTTGGTGTGACTCGTTGGTAGTCATTTATAAGTGATGATGGATTTAATTTCTTATTATTTTAAATTTTTGTTAGAATATAGTTGATTTACAAAATTTTGTCAGTTTCAGGTGTACAGCAAAGTGAATCAGTTATACATATACTTATATTCACTCTTTTTTAGATTCTTTTAGTATTGAGTAGAGTTCCCTGTGCTATACATTAGGTCCTTATTAGTTATCTGTTTTATATATAGTAGTGTGTATATGTCAATCCCAATCTTCCAATTTATCCCTCCCTCTCCCCACCCCTGGTAACCATAAGTTTGTTTTCTACATCTGTAAATCTATTCTGTCTTGGAGATAAGTTCATTTGTACCCTTTTTTTAGATTCCACATATGTGATATCATACATGTATATTTGTTTTTCAAAAAATGAAGATTGGTTGTAGTCAAGCATATGATTAGGCTTTGGGTTTATAAGAAAACACATTTCTAGCCATTGCATTCAGAGATGAAAATTCAATCATAATAATTTACTCATTTCTTTCTCTCTGGGAAATTCATCCATTGTTAACACTACCTCTAAAAATTAATTTTCCGTCCTGTAAGTTACACTCCTTTTTATATGGCTGCATTAACCAATCTATTTTAACACTTACTATAACTTTCTCTTCCAATGGGGAATAATATAAAAAAAAAAAAAGGAAAGCAGTGACTAAAGGCAAACAAAAAGTTAGGCAACATAGTTACTCCATTATTTCTACATATAAATTGGATCATTTAAATGACTTTTACAGGATTTAAATAAAATAAACTATCCTTCAGTAAAGCCAAAAACTATATGAAGGATTCTAGTGATTGGCTCTTTGGTAGACTGAGTTTTCAAGAAGTGGAAGGTGAATTCTCTAATTATTGAAAATAAACGTTTGAGGTTTTCTTCAAACATCACAGTAGCTGAAGACTCTTTAAGACTTATTAAGACTCTAATAATTCATAATTCTTCCTTCCTTGCTTTTTTTTAAGGGAAGAAGACTCAATTTTTCTAAAATGTGGAATATAAATACATCAAAAGGAAAATAAATTATACTGTACATTTGAATTTAAACTCTGAAAGAAGCTCTGAAACTTAAGAAAACTAAAACGGGCACATGATATAGATTGTATATCATTCCACGTTAGTGTTCTCAGCACTGGGGCCTTAAGAAAAAAAAAAAGAAGCTTCTGATCAGAGGAAACTGCCCTGCTCTAGACAGCATGCATTCAGAGGTCAAGATGCCCTGGCCTTGTGCAATGTGTTCTAACTCAACCCTCCTTTCTTCTGTTTTCCTTCAGTCCATCTCCACGTTCCCCAGAAACCAGTTTTTGAGAAAGATGACCCAGAAACATCTTCTCATCCTCCCGACTCCCGAGATCTTCCTGCTGGAATACCTTGGGATTTTTCATGAAGTAAAATCAGGGACATGAAACTGGGGCCCAGACTCAGTGATACCCAGACTTCTAGAGTCCCACGTGCATCAGACTACAACACAAAAATACCTGAGCCATAGTTGGCCCTTGTTCTAAGGATTCTGATGAGGTCAAACTGTCATAAACAGTTGTGCAGTGAGCCAGATTTTTGTTTTTAATAATGCCCTTTCCAATGTAGTACTGAAATATACACATCTCTTGAATATGAGTGAGAACACGCAGTCCCAGGCATGTGGTCTGGTGATGCTACCTAGAACGCGCGTAGCTGCGCTGCTAGGGGAGAGCTGGGGAGGAACCGCGGGCACCTCCCCCGCAGGGGTGAGGCCCCAGCCAACTGCATATTCCCAACCTTCGGACATGGAAGGTGACAGGTTGTGACAGCAGGGAGTGGCCAACTCCTTAAAGCAGGCTTGAGTGTAACTCTTCTTGAGAGAGGAGTTCCTTGGTGAGTGTTCTTTGGAGTCCTAGTGAATTTAGGAGTCTGTATTTTCTCCCTCCCCTGTGTTCTCTCTGCCTTTCTTTACACACTGTGCACCCACGTCACCCTGTGTACACGCAGAAGAAAGTTTTATACAGAATGAGCCCCGTGTTGACGTAGGCATCACCTCCCCTCCCATCTGGACAGAAGCCCAGAAGGCAGCGAGAGGGGGGTTGGGGGAATGCGAAGGTAGGGATCGCTTGGATCCCTGTGGTAAGCGTCCCGAGGCGGGGCCGATCAAGGGCCAGACTAGAGTATTGGTTCTGGACCCACAAATAGATCAAGCTTTTCCCTCCTCCATCACCCTCTTAAATCCCAATGAGGTCATTGCAATGAGAGAGAATCAGATCAAGAGACAAGGGGAGGAAGAGGACGACGACGAGGGAGAAGAAACCCAGACGGAAAAAGGCCATCAGACAAGGTCGCTTTTTCTGGCGACACAGAAACTGCGCGGAGTGTGGTGCTGAATATCATCTGCCCGCTCAGCCTGGGGACCAAGGGACTCGTAGAAGCACTTTGTGTTACCACGAAAACAAAGGAAAGGAGACGAGAGGGAGAGAGAAGCTCTGAGCAGTTCCGCCTTGGATCTGGGGAAGCAAAGCTCATCTACTTGGCAAGGAAAGAAAGGGGAGCCTGAAAGGGTTTGGGAGGCTGAGGAGGGAGCGGGATTTCCCTGCGGAGAGTTGGGACGCGGCAGAACTCTGGACAGCGCCTCCCGAGCCGGATTCCAGGCTCGGGGCTCCGGAGCTCCGTGGCTCCTCCAGGGTTCCAGCTCCTTGTTGAAAGCCCTTTCTACCGGTGTGCTCTCCTCTCCTGGACTCCGACCACCGAACCGAACCGGGAAAATCCTTCTACGATCCCTGTCCGAACGTGCCAGGGGATGGAGCGACTCTGCCTCTGACCCGGTCAGGGAAGAGGGTCTCCAGTTCTGGAAATCCAGTCCTTGTGGATAATGCTTCGCCGGTGAAGAAAGAAAAGTTTTGGGGTCTGGTAGGGGGCAGAAGGGGTAAGGAGGATAGTGGAAGAAAGAAGGTGGATGGTTGGCTTCTCTCTCTGATCTGGAAGGAATGATGACCGAGGAAGGATGTGCACCAGCGGCCAGATTATTGGGAGCCTCTTGGTTCTCTCTGTGCTGGAGATAGGGCTGGGGGTGTCCAGCGTGGCCGTAGGAGCGGTCAGCTTCAGCCTGGCCCTCCGAGAGCACAAGCCGCAGCTTGGAGACTCGTCCCCGGTATGGAGCGGGGTGTGTGTACGTTGAGCCATTTCACTCTCTCTTTACCTCTTTACGGTGATGGTCAGTGTGTGTGCGTTAGTCACTCCCTCCCTGGGGAAGAAAATTATAAATCTCCTCTGGCTTGCATGTAGGTTCATGTTGGCAGGCTATACTTTATGTTGTCCTTTATTTATTAGTGTGTTTCCTTTTTTCTTACCTTGACTTGATACCAATTAAATGGCTTTGTTTAAAGTTGGGGGGAGGGCAGTTTCCACTGGCTGAATCTGCAAAAGCCTGCGGAGTGGTGCTGATTAGGGGCATCACACCTGTCAAGGGCAGACTCACTTAATTTCTTTTACAAGGAAAATCAAAATGAAAGTGTCATATCATTTTCTTATACCAGGAACAAGCAAGGGTAGAATTGTGCGTTTATTTCTGGATAACAGTGCCCAAAGTACACTAAAGGCAACACCGATATCACAAAAGGAGAAATGGGGTGTGAGTGTGAAAGGAGCATTTTATCCCAGAAAACACTGCTCTTAATTTTCCCTTGTTAGCATCTATAGAACTCTTTTGTAAGTTCTAGGCAATAAGGTAAACAACAGATTATGATATGTAACATTCTAATTGAAGAATAACTCAGCTTAAACAGTACCTAATGCTCAGAGAAAATGTCATAATTTTCTCTAGGTCAGACGGCAGACCCAGTGAGCTTCTTGTTTATTTACTTTGGGTGAATCTCCAGGACAGCTTTGGAGACCCATTCCTTCCACCAAGGATCAATAAAATAACTCAGCACTATTCCTAGCGTGAGCCTAATTGTGAAAATCAGCTTTTCTTCTCCTTTAAGTTATATAGCTGCTATATCCACATCCTTCTGGGTCTCTGGCTTGATTCTATTTTCTCAGATAGTTTAATAGGATGTTATTCTGTCACAGATAATCAGTGAGTATAATTAACAGTCATGGCTTAGTCATGCTCTAGGTCACCGAGGAAAAAATTATTTATGAGTTAAAGAATAACTCTGAAGCAATTTACTTTTGAGAGAAGTTCTAGCATTCTTAAAACTGGCATACTTGTGCTTTAGAAAATTAGTTTTTATATTTTAACTTTTCAGAGTGAAGTGTTTTTAAATTGCAGAAGTTATAAGAAGAAAGAAAAATGGTGTTCATCTCTAACATGGAATTTTTCTAGGAATCCTTGTTCTGAATTCAATGTTACCACCAACCTCAATTAATTACCTTTTTCTTTATTATGTAATTTTATCAATGTATATTTTAAATTTAAGTATGAAAGACTAAAAGGCAAATCTTCAACCTAGTAATTTTACATCTTATATGTAGTAGTGATTATTTTGAGATTTGTAGTATTATTACTTTATTATTATTTAAATAGAAATTGTTAGACTTTAAAACTTCTATCAGACAGTTGTCAAAATTAACTGTAATGTCAACATTTAAATCACGGGAAGAAAATGTGATCTTCTGGTGGCTTATGAGGAAGAAGCCTCAAATACTCTTCAAATCAATTCCTGTCTGAAATTCAAGAAGCTGAGTAAATAAATGTAGGTTGTATCTAAATAGCATTAAAGTATCCAGTTTACCTTCAAGAATAAAGAAAAGTGCTTACATTTGCTTAGTGTCAAGTAAGAAAAATAATTAAATGATTTTTTCCTTTCTTTCCCAACTATTTACCATTATCTAGGTGAGTCGACATATGTGTATGTACAGAAAATGAAAATTCTGAAGCAGCTCAGTGAAAAGCAAATAAAATGATAATACAGTCATTATCATAAAGAATTATTTCCAGTTTTAACACTTTGTTTCCTTAGAGTAACCAAAATTCACCTAGGATTCTCAAATAATAATTTCAAATTCTATTGTCTGATTCAGTTAAAAAAAAAAAATCCATATGATTGAATGAATGGATTTAAAACTTGAGTGCCCATAGATTTGGTCACTTTTATTAACTCAACATAAAAAATCAAATTTGTGAAGATATAAATATCCAAATTTGATCTTTGTTTATCACATTATAGGCATGCTAAATTGATTTTTAAAATAATTTTTCAGAGGTCATTTGTGATACAGACTGAATTCTCTCTTAATTCTGGCGATGATGAATTCATATAACCAGTATTTATAGAGGGCTTACCATATGCAAGGTGTTTTACTGTTGAACACAAAGCCTATTAAGGTGAATCAGAATGCCTAGCAGAGGAAACAAGATGGGTATGTCACAAACTTTTATCAGTAGTGAGAAATTAGTTTGACTTCAGGGAGTTACAGGAGTAGATAAAGGGGAGAGAGGAAATACCCATGGGAGAACTATTATTTTTCTCTTGATCTTTAAAGTTTATTGAAACTTGGAGTTAATGTATCACAGTGTTAAGTAATGTATCACAGTATGAAATCTGGAGTTTGCCTGGGTACAAATCGCAGCTCAGCCATTAGCCATTTACTATCTGGATGACTAGCCAAAGTTTCCTCATACTCTGTGAAATAGGGTTGCTAGAAGTCGCAAATGAAATAATGCTCTTAGTAAAATGCATGGTATGTAGTAAGCACTGAATAAATGCAAACAGCTAGTACTGGGTGCATAGACTAACAGTAAAGGGCATGAGAAAGAGAAACTTTTAGGCAGCAAGGATGAAGACGAAAAACTGGGACAGGATGGGTTGTGTTTCAGGTAGAATAGGCTCTTCTATTTTTCTGGGGCTTACGTGCGTGAGGGAGAGATAAGGATGGAAAGAGTGGAAGGGACCAGACCATGGGAGGCTGCGTGCCAGTCTAAGGCAATAGGTTTATTTCCTCACAGTTTTAATATAATAATAATAATAATACCAATTTTTAGTTCCCAAAGAGACTGCAGGAATATGCAGCAGAAAACTAGATTGAAAACTACTAATCTCTTTGGTATTCGGTGAATTAAAAATCTGTGTTATTTATAAACACTGGATGGGATTTTATATTAATTAACCTTTCAGGTCATAGTGTATAATCAGAGTGTGTTTTGATTGGTGCCATGAAGTTTTCTCAACACAGATATCATTATTGCCAGATTTTGAATTAAATTTTAGAAGCCAATGGAAATAAAAACTGCACTACGAAGGGATTACTTATTATAATGGACCTCAACATCATAAGCTTTTTTCTAGGTCAAATGCACTAAGAGTTCAGGCAACTATTTGATTATTTGGACTTAAATTATTATTGGATATTTTTGGATTATTGGAAAAATTATTGGACCAAAATTTTTTTTATTGTATTTTATTGTGATAAGAACACTTAACAAGAGATCTTAGCAAATTTTTAAATGTACAATATGTTATTGTGGACTATAGGTACAATTCTGTGCGTCAGATCTCTAGAGCTTATTCATCTGATTAAATGAAATTTTATGCCCCTTGATCCATAACTCCCATTTCCTTCTCCCCACTACCCCCTGGAAGTCACCATTCCACTCTTTGATTATGTAAACTTCACTATTTTACATTCCTTATATAAGATGAATCATGCAGTGTTTGTTTGTATGTGATTGGCTTATTTTATTTAGTATAGTGTGCTCAGGTTCATCCGTGTTTTCACACATGACATAATTTCCTTCTGACTTTCCTTCAGAATTAAGGCTGAATCGTATTCCATTGAATGTATGTACCATATTTTCTTTACATATTCATCTGTTGATGGACATTTAGGTTGTTTCCACATCTTGGCTATTGTGAATAGTGCTGCAATGAACATGAAATGCTAATATATCTTTGAGATCCTGATTTCATTCTTTTGGCTAAATACCCAGAAAAAGGATTGTTGGATCAAATGGTAGTTCCATTTTAAGTTTTTTGAGGAACCTCCATACCGTTGTCATAGTGGCTACACCATTTATCATTCTCACCAACAGTGTGCTAACGTTCCAATTCATCCACATTCTTGCCAACACTTTTTAAGTGGCTTAAAAAAAGAAAAAGGGCTTAAAATCCACAAGGTGGATGCTTATACAGACTATCTCCAGTCACTATTTCACAATCAGGCAAAGGGTACGTCCTGGGACCAGTCTAAAAGATGTGGGCAATCAGAAGGAACAATTACTTAACTATAATTTCATAGTGAAAGAAAGCTATAAATGCCTTATAGGATTTTGGCCGCCTCCTGATTCTTTGTTACAGTTTATATAGACACCTCCTTGAGAGCATGAAAGAATACATTATTACTAGATAACAATAAATGAACCATTGAGTAAACTGCTTTGGAAAAGACATAGGCATGGTGAAATATAATTGATGTGTCAGGTATATTGACAGGGAGTTAAATAGACAGGGCTATGTTTCCAAGCTGCTGTGGGATAGTCATTTTTCTCAGTCTCCAGTGAATCATGTATAATGGAAGTGGTTTATATTTAGTGGTACACAGATCCAGGAGAATTTTATTTTGTTGCTCTAAGTTGGTACTTGAAAAATCTAAAGATTCAAATGGTGATGTCCAGAGAAGCATCTGATACTGAGTTTTATTTGATACATACCATGCTGAATTCCATCCATCTATATCTGATATTCATTCTATAAATTAAATATATTAAAATAACTTTTCTTAGGCTCCTTACCCCACATGTAAAATAGTTTTTTAAAATACTCAAAGTTTTTCTGATCAAAATCATATAAAGTTTGAGCGCTTTTTATTGCTTATTTTTCTGAAGCATACTTGATTTGTACGTCATAACTTCATCTGCTTAAAAAATCCTCTACTTTAGGTGAGTGAAATTTATAGCATAATCAAGTCACATACTTAGTATGTAGACTCCTGATTCACCATGGCAACAACTCAGCCAGTGGTAAGATTGTGTTGAAATTCACCTACTGTACAATCTGACCCATACCATAGCACCACAAATGAGATGCTATGTATAAATGATAGTTGCTCAAAAATGTTATTTCTAATATTTAAGTCTGTTCAGTTAATTTAAGGAAAAACAAAATAAAGTGAAAGAAACCCCTCAAACAGTTACTTCAATTGTACAAAATTTGAAGCTAGTGTGTCTCT